AACTACACTCATGCTGCATCACTGGTCATGCTTTGGTGTCACTGATCTCGGGAGAGGAAACAAATTTCTGGGATTAGCTTTTCCACAAGAAAATGAAAATTCCCCCCCTGCCCTGCTATTTACCCAACACCCTCCCTCCTTTAGGCTCTTAGTTTATATATAGAGCTCCTCAATCTAAGAATTAAGGCACAGTCTCCAAAAATAAAAATATTCGACGTGAAAATGGAACATGCTCACTTGCAGTTCTGGTTAAGCACAAAATAGGTTAGATTCGTGGCTTATAGAAAATAAAGGATTACATAGCTTTTTTGAGCCCCATAACAAAGCATGCAAGGAAATACTGCATTACCGGATAAACCCTTTAATTTAACGTTATTATCGAATAAATCGTAATGAACACCACCCTCTACTTTTTGGCAGAGAAATGAACAACAACCTGTTGAAGGAATTACCATCAGGCATATTCAGTAACAATACCAAGCTGTCCATTCTGTAAGTTAGGATCCTTTCTTCTTTTTGTAAAGAATGCCTTAAATCCATCTCCATATACCAGCAGATCAGAGCACGCTAACTTTTTTACGATAAACATTCATAGTTCTGATCAGACAGATGCACCGAAAATGAAAAGTGAAAACAGATATTAAATGAAACAATCAAAGTGCTTATAAGAAAACATTTACTGTAGAGTGTAGAACCAGGGTAAACAATCTGATCTAAGAGCAATATCTTGTGGGATCCCTCGGGGTTCAACTCTGGTACCACTTTTATTTTGGCGTAAACTGATGATTTGCCAAATGCCTCAAATACACCACACCTCGAATGTTTGCCGACGATATCAGCATAACAGCCAACGGAAAAAGTATTGACGAAATCGAATTGGGGCTTCATGAAGACTTAGGTAACATTAGATTATGGCTACAAGCTCAGCCATAACGTTGCGAAGACAGAATATATGCTCATCGGTTCACGTCAAACATTGGCTAAGCTTTCCTTTGAACCAAACGTTTGCATTGGAAGAGATACCATCAAAAGAGTCAAACATACCAAAATACTTGGAGTTTACATTGATGAATCTCTTACGTGGAGCAAGTATGCTAAAGAAATAACTGAAAGGATTACAGCAGGAATTAGCGCTTTAAAACGGCTCAGAGATTTTGCAAGTCGATATGTACTGTTTCAGTTTATGATGCACTAATTATGCCTCATTTTAATTATTGTTGTGAGGTTTAGGATTCATTAGGTGTACTAGTCGAAAGGCTGCAGAAACACCATAACAGATGTGCCAGGGTAACTATGCGTTACAAAAACGAGGCTGGAAAGTCTGAATTAGTCCTACATCATCTTGGCTGAAGTTTACTAAGCGAAAAAAGAATTCATATTAAGGCTGGACAAATGTTTAAGGTTCTCCAAGAATTGGCACCTGCGAGGCTTTCGAATATTTTCAGGGACTCGTGCTCGGACAACAATTATCATTTAAGGAAGGCTGATAATAACATGGCCATTCCGTTGCCAAAGACTGAATTTCTAAAGAAGAGTTTGAGCTATCATGATGCTAAGATCTGGAATTCCTTTCCAAATGAAATATGTAGTTCTGAAACTTTGGCTTCATTTAATGAGCTTATTTCAACCTATCGACTAACTGTGAAATAATTTATTTCTTACGGGTTATAATTAATGCATTGATAGTTTAAGTCATAAATATTAGTGTATACATATATATATATATATATATATATATATATCTTAAATAGTTTTTAGCTTTTGTAGTTGGTTCATGCCCCTTCTGGAAACCAGATTTTATAATGTTAATGATAGGGTAGCGTATTAAAAAAAAATAATCTATCAATTTATCTCATGACATGACTCAGCTGTGGCAAACAAGGAGTATATATCTTCTTAAGCGCCACTGAAAAACATTTTTGATTAGAGAAATTTCTTAAACTTTGTTCACGAAAACAATGTTGATAACACCACTTTGAATTATTTTTGGTAGGTTTTTAAGAAACAACAAGTTTGAAAAATTGCCATCGGGTATTTTTGATACCAACATCAAGCTGACTTATTTGTAAGTTTGGAGCCTACCTTATTAAGTAAAGAACGCGTTAAATCCATACCACTTCAGCGAAAATACCATCAGAACTAAGCAGCGATTTTAAAATTTTCACAGAACCATGATCCCTTTGGGTCAGAGGTTGTGATAATCAGTTTTGTATACCGTTTACAAGCCCAAATCTTGCGACAAAATAGCTGGTTGCCCTACTTTGTCTACTTAAGGTCTTTCTTTGTAAAACCAAAAAGAAAACGTCGGCTTTTAGAGGATGTTAATTTTTTTGCTCGTACATTTCAATTATACCCTCATATCAGGAAGCTTACAAGCTACTTGAACTTTTTTCACGAAGACATGGAATATCCCACAAGTCACATGTGTTTTATCAGTACACACACGAAGAGACGTTTAGTTAAAAGCATCAGCTTTGAATGCCGGTTGCAGCATTGCAGCATAAAGTCTTAAGAGATAAATTGTATTTTAAACTTACAGTAGACATTTATCCTAAAGTGCGGACAGAAGATTATCATTAGTTGGTCAAAGTCAGTAATTTTTGACAAAAAAACTTAGAAAAACTTATCAGAATTGATGACAAGAACTTATGTGTGTTACTTGTGTTACACAGGGCATTTTTGGTTGACTCTAACTCTCACTGATAATTATGTTAACGATTGTAATGTATTTTTTTAACTATTCGGGAACATGACAAGGATGTAAACGGTCGTTTTCCAGGGTGAAAACTTACTGCGAGTGCTAGTAACTTTCATCTCTCTCTGACATGCTTTTTGCTCAAAATTTTTCCTCACGCGATCATGGTCTAGCCAAACACGATCAAAGGCATTCATTTGAAGTGAATAATTTTTCCACTTCTGATTCACAAAACGGAGCACTTTATCTTTCGATATAATTTTATTTCAGTCACAAACATGTCGAGGTCATATTTAGTAATAATGATAAATAAAAGCACGAACAATATGTTAGTAAATCCTTGACGACACTGATATCCTTTTAGCTGAAAAAGGGGATGGACAATGGTTCATGGATGGATATTTTAAAAGATATCCACGAAAGATGAGCAAAACTTGTTCACAGAGTTGACAGATTCGCCCGAAAATATAAACTAATTGCTCTTTCAGTAGCCTTGGTTCTTAACCAAAACATTTCTAGCCACTTAAAAGTACTTACTTGACTCATTTGTTGATAGGTATTTGGACAACAACCATTTGGAGGACTTGCCAATATTCATTAACAATATCAACCTAAGATTGCTGTAAGTCAAAAGTTAAAAGAAAATTCTTCCTAATTTTTATCCTACTGACATCTTCAAGAGGGGATAACCAGGGAATTTGTGGAATACTTGTATCAGTTAAAGCATTACAATAATTAGACTTAGTCGATCACTAGAGGCTTATATTTGCCTCCCTAGGGGAGAGAGTTCCATCCCATTGCGCTTAATTTTAAATCTGCTGTATAGTATGCGTTTCTTAGTTACACAAAATAAACAATAGCCCATCAGTGAAGCAACGTAAAATAAGACAACTGGTGAGGTCGAATTAATCGTGCGCAAGTCACTAATTTATTCTAACATTCGAGTTGAAACTTGTAGCGTGGAGACGTTATCTCACTTCACCGGTTTGTGAGGCTCTAAAAGTCAACAGTACCAGAAGTAGCTTTAACACTGAATACATCTTTAAACTCTTCTCGCTAGAAGAAAGTGGTGTTCTGAACTAGAATTTCCTTCTATTCGTAGAAAATACTAGAAAATACTAAACTACTAACTTTCGCCTTTTACAAGTTTTTCAATGATAAGCTTCCTTGGTCAAACACTGGAATAGCTCATTGAAAAGCAAATCCAGTAAACCATCGAAACAGGGTCAGGTCAATGGAACACTCCTCAGTTAACCTATTGCTGTATCTTTGTGGTATGAAAGTCAGAAGTACTTGCTAGTGACACTTAAGGTGTTTACTGAAGTATTTAGTTTGTTTAGTACGATTCAGTCATTCGTTCACAATTGGTATGTAGTTACTATTAATAGGAATTCAAATTCCGAGTTATTTAAGTTTAAGCCGACGCGATGAGTTTCCAAGTTGAACATGTGTTGTTTAACTTCCGTTATTAGACGCGCATAGTTTGTCAACTAGCCTCTTATAAAGCTGTTTCATATGTCCCCAATATCAAACTGAAATTTCTATAAATAAAAAAGGTAAATACTACTCTTTCCAGTTTTTATACATCTGAATTTTAAGAAGGAAGACATAAGGACATAAACAGAAAATTTCATAAACTCTGTCGCTTAAGTCACAGATTTGTATTATTGTTTGATAGACGGAAGGTATGCTGCAAGCCGGCTTTCTATCAAGAGCTGTCATGAAGGACAGTGAACTTTCCCCCGCATTAAAAGTCGTTGAACGCATTCACACCAACCACTTCCTTTCCGTTCCAGATCACCAACTCAATGAAACTAAGAGTGAGAAGGAGAGAGAGAGAGAGAGAGGAGAGAGAGAGAGAGAGAGAGAGAGAGAGAGAGCTAGAGTGATCTGGGTATTTGCTACGTGGTTAGATTCTTGTGGGTATTTTCTACGGTACAAAATACCCATTGAGGGTTTTTGCTACGGTAGGAAATACCCATGTGGGTTTTTGCTACGGTAGGAAATACCCATGTGGGTATTTGATACGTTCAATGGGTTTTTGCTACGGTAGCCAATACTCATCTGGGTCTTTGCTACTCCCAAGTGGGTATTTGTTACCGTAGCAAATACTCAAAATGGGTTTTTGTTACCGTAGCAAATACTCAAAATAGGTATTTGACAAATTTTTTACCTATTTCAAGGTTTCATATTAAAGAAAACTATTTTTTTGGTTCTACGGTTTATTACCGAAGAAGTACATCATTAGCGGTCAGCGTTCACACACTTCAACTTTCGTTTTCGTGTTTCACGTGTTCGTCGATGACGGCAACTTTCAAACGGTAAGAAAATAAGATCAACATAGGTTTCTTGTTATATTTCGTCCCTTAAGCAAGTGGTTATCAACGAAATACGCTTTGCAAGCATCCAAGGTATAAGTGTCGATATATTTTTTACAATATTTGAGAAAAAAGCCGATAAACTTGAAGAATGATTGGCCTTCGTAATATCTTACATAATTATCGGTTTACTTATATTTAACTTCCAAATCATATAGATATGAATCGTAGAATGCATTTTTTCTGCTTTGTTCTAACAATGAAGTGGGTGAAAGCTCTTACTTAAAAAATAAAATTGCTTTTTATAAACAGAAATTCCCTTGATAGCAACAAAACATCGATCGATGTTTCAGGACTTTGGATAAGTTATTTTCGATGCTATTATTTATTGTGATCATCTCTTATCCTATTTCAATCCCTGTCAAATCATTGCAATCATCTCTTATGCTGTGTTGATCACTGTCAAATCATTTTAATCAACTGTTATGCTGTGTTGATCACTGTCAAATCATTCTAATTAACTGTTATGCTTTGTTGATCACTGTCAAATCATTCTAATAAACTGTTATGCTGTGTTGATTACTGTCAAATCATTCTAATCATCTGTTCTGCTGTGTTGATAAATTTCAAATCATTCTAATCAACTGTTATGCTTTGTTAATCACTGTCAAATCATTCTAATCATCTGTTATGCTTTGTTGAGCACTGTCAAATCATTCTAATCATCTGTTATGCCTTGTTGAGCACTGTCAAATCATTCTAATCATCTGTTATGCTGTGTTGATCACTGTCAAATCATTCTAATCATCTGTTCTGCTGTGTTGATCACTGTTAAATCATTTTAATCATATGTTATGCTGTGTTGATCACTGTTAAATCATTGCAATCATTTCTTATACTCTAGTGATCACTGTCAAATCATTCTAATCATCTGTTCTGCTGTGTTCATCACTGTTAAATCATTTTAATCATATGTTATGCTGTGTTGATCACTGTTAAATCATTGCAATCATTTCTTATACTCTAGTGATCACTGTCAAATCATTCTAATCATCTGTTCTGCTGTGTTGATCACTGTTAAATCATTTTAATCATATGTTATGCTGTGTTGATCACTGTTAAATCATTGCAATCATTTCTTATACTCTAGTGATCACTGTCAAATCATTCTAATCATCTGTTCTGCTGTGTTCATCACTGTTAAATCATTTTAATCATATGTTATGCTGTGTTGATCACTGTCAAATCATTCTAATCATCTGTTATGCTGTGTTGATCACTGTCAAATCATTCTAATCATCTGTTCTGCTGTGTTGATCACTGTCAAATCATTTTAATCATATGTTATGCTGTGTTGATCACTGTTAAATCATTGCAATCATTTCTTATACTCTAGTGATCACTGTCAAATCATTCTAATCATCTGTTCTGCTGTGTTCATCACTGTTAAATCATTTTAATCATATGTTATGCTGTGTTGATCACTGTTAAATCATTGCAATCATTTCGTATACTCTAGTGATCACTGTCAAATCATTCTAATCATCTGTTCTGCTGTGTTCATCACTGTTAAATCATTTTAATCATATGTTATGCTGTGTTGATCACTGTTAAATCATTGCAATCATTTCTTATACTCTAGTGATCACTGTCAAATCATTCTAATCATCTGTTCTGCTGTGTTGATCACTGTTAAATCATTTTAATCATATGTTATGCTGTGTTGATCACTGTTAAATCATTGTAATCATTTCTTATACTCTAGTGATCACTGTCAAATCATTCTAATCATCTGTTCTGCTGTGTTGATCACTGTTAAATCATTTTAATCATATGTTATGCTGTGTTGATCACTGTTAAATCATTGCAATCATTTCTTATACTCTAGTGATCACTGTCAAATCATTCTAATCATCTGTTCTGCTGTGTTGATCACTGTTAAATCATTTTAATCATATGTTATGCTGTGTTGATCACTGTTAAATCATTGCAATCATTTCTTATACTCTAGTGATCACTGTCAAATCATTCTAATCATCTGTTCTGCTGTGTTGATCACTGTTAAATCATTTTAATCATATGTTATGCTGTGTTGATCACTGTTAAATCATTGCAATCATTTCTTATACTCTAGTGATCACTGTCAAATCATTCTAATCACCTGTTCTGCTGTGTTCATCACTGTTAACTGTGTTTATCACTTTCAAATCATTGAAATCATCTTTTATGCTGTGTTCATCACTGTCAAATCATTTTAATTATCTTTTATGCTGTGTTGATCATTGTCAGATCATTCTACTCATCTGTTATGCTGTGCTAACCATTGTCAACTCTATCATTGAGATCAGTTTTCTATTTGTTTGTATTATAGTAACCATGGAAGGTAGTTCTGAAATAAGGAAAAAGTCTCGGGAATCTAAAGTGTGTTCGAGATGTGGGAAATCAGTTATAAATTTATCTCGTCATCAGAAGGATGTACATAAAGTGAATAAGATTTTTCGTCAGGTAGATGTATATATAAATGGAAACAAGAAAGCGCCTAATAGGAAGATAAAGTTTTGTCCGTTATCTCCATGCAAGCATTCAAAGAAAGGTGTCTTTCAACTTCATCATCATTTACAGTCAAATATCCACAAGCTTAATCCCAACTCAAACCAATACTTAGATGCGCTTAAATCTGCTCCGAGAATTGGGCTTCAAGAGCTACGAGATCACATTGCCAAGAGAAAGAAATCCAAAGCAAAGAGCGCCACAACTAAAGATGGTCCTAAAAAGAGAAAAATCGAATCAAAATCACCTGTACGTGGAAAGGCCGCAAAAAGGGTGAAATTTTACAAGGGTGACAAGGAAAATGAGTATAGTTTGGTGAATAGAATCGAAGCTGAGGAAGAAATTGAAAATGACTCGGATGATCAATTATTAGAAAATCCTGAAGGAGAAGCAACTATCAGCAGAAACGTGAGTAACCCTGGGCACCTCGCACCGACCTCCTCCAATAGTAATGCAGAGGAGCGCAAACTACATAATGAAGAAAGTTGTGAATCAAAGGTAAGAGAGACGTACAATGATGATGACAGCAAATTAGAGTATGATCAGCAAGTTGATAAAGTGGAACACAAGCTACATAATGAAGAAAGTGGAGATTCAGGCAATGATCATGACAGTAATTTGGAGTATGAAAAAGTAATGGATCAAATGGAATCAAAGGTAGGTGATACACATGATGACCATGACAGCGATTTGGAGTATGATCAACTTGTGGATAACGTGTGGAAAAGAAATGAAGAGTGCAAGAAGCGAAGCTTTAAACAGTTAGTGTCTATGATGTCCTCCCAGTGTGAAAGCGATGCCGAGCTATCTGAAGAGTTAAACAACCGCAAAAATGCTGACCAAGTAATCCAACCACCTCAACCACCAGTGACGGCTGGTAATACCAAATCTAGTGAAATAGTTATATGCGACAGTGAAGAAGAGGAAATTTTAGACCCAAACTATCACCCTTCCCTGGACTCCGAATCAGAGTGTAGCACTGGAAGCTTGTCAGATAACTGCTCGTTGCAAGAAAGGGATGACATTTTAACTGATTTCGTGGAAAACGTAGATAATCTCGATTTTCTTCGTGTGGAACCAGAATGGAAGAGCGTGGTTGATGTTGTTTTTGAAAGAAAAAAGAACGCTGGTAATACTGACTCCCAAAGCAATCTTTCACAAGGTAAAGTGCCTAAGGAAGTTATGAATGATGATGAATCATCAGTATACGATAGCGATGATGATGATAATGACGACTGTCTTGAAGAGATGGAAGATGATGTCAGTTTTGAAGACAATGATAGTAGTGATGACAGCCCACTGCTTAACGAGTTTCATTCCTGGTTGATAGACGTAGACGGGGGTTATCGCTGCGCAAAAGTGGCTGGTCAGTACAAGTCACAGGTAAAACGCATCATGAAAGTTCTTTCAGAAGATTTCCCTCAAGCAGCAAATGAAATAGATCTTGTTACTGTCGAGGGGCATGACGGAGTGGTAATGTTGAGGAAGTGGTTGGGTCAACTATCTGAGGAGTATCAACCTGGAACCATTAGATCATACCTAATGAGCCTTAGGCTATTCCTTAAATTCCTTGTGCAAGAAGAGAAAGGGCAAGATAGATTAGACACACTTCATGCAAGGAGAGATCTTTTAACTTCGTGGTCATCTGCTCAAAGAAAGAAGGTGCTGAAAAGGAAATTAGAGAAACATGACATGGACTTTGCAAAACTCCTTTCTAGCGAAGATCTATATAAAGTGTCAAATGGACAACAGCGAATAAACATAATTAAAGCGCTTGGAACAGCTGCGGAGAAAAGCAAAGCTTGTGGAGAACCTGTGCTGGTCAACGATCAGACCTTTTGCGAAGTAAGGGATTGGCTGATTACAAGATTAATAATTGACAACTCCGGAAGAAGTGGTATTGCAGCAAATATAACAGTGGAGGAATTCAAAGATGCTAAACTGTACGCTGGAGAAGAAGATGGAGAGAGATACCGCGTATCAGTTAAGAATCACAAGACAGGAGGTGTTTATGGGGCAGCCATTGTATGGTTTCATGCTGATGTTTACAATCTGGTGAATACGTATATCTCAAGGGTGAGGCCTAAGTACGTCAAAGATGCCACAGATAACATGTTCGTTTCAACCAATGGCGTTA